GTAGTAGAAGTAGTAGTAGTAGTAGTAGTAGTAGTGGTAGTCGTAGTAGTGGTAGTCGTAGTAGCAGTAATAGTAGTAGTAGTAGTAGTAGTAGTAGTACGAGTAGTAGTAGTAGTAGTAGCAGTAGTAGTAGTAGTAATAGTAGTAGTAGTAGTAGTAGCAGTAGTAGTAGTAGTAGTAGCAGTAGTAGTAGTAGTGGTAGTAATAGTGAGGAGTACATCACAGAGGCCGTACAAATAATGAACGCGTCATCGCAATACTGGCAAAGGCAATACGACTAGATGGAATACGGGTAGTACAACTGTGTAGTAGTAGAGGTAGGGGCGGTCGTACTAGTCGTAGTAGTGGTAGTAGCAGTAGCCGTAGTAGCAGACATCCTTCGAGGCTGGCTTCAGCCTTCTGCCCTTCTCCTCACCATCTCCGCCCTAGGCGATTCCTACCACGAAACGCAACAAGAACTTTATGCTTGTCAGCTGTCCCAGGGGATGGCCCATCCCAAAGTACCGCCCCCGCTACGTACGGAACGTTATCTTAGTACCGCGAAGCGGCGAACATGAATATGTCCCGCCCTCGGGCAATTCTACTTTGACAGTAGACCTGAGGGTGCTAGTATTCGTAGTTAGTAAGACTACCACTCGCGGGAGCAGCGGTAAGAGCTGTACTAGCAGTAGTCGTCGTAGTAGTAGTTGTAGTAGCAGTAGTGGCGGTAGTAGTAGTAGTATCAGTAGCAGTACTAGTACTAGTACTAGTACTAGTAGGAGTACTAGTAGTAGTACTAGAACTAGTAGTGGTGGTAATAGTAGTGGTAGTAGTAGTAGTAGTAGTCGTAGTAATAGTAGCGATAATGCTGGTATCCGTAGTAGTAGTAGTAGTAGTAGTAGTAGTAGTAGTAGTAGTAGTAGTAGTAGTAGTAGTAGTAGTGGTAGTACTAGCAGTAGTAGTAGTAGTAGTAGTAGTAGTAGTAGTAGTAGTTGTAGTAGTAGTAGTAGTGGTTGCAGTAGTAGTAGGACTTGCGGTAGTAGTAGTAGTAGTAGTAGTAGTAGTAGTAGTAGTAGTAGTAGTAGTAGTAGTAGTAGTAGTAGTAGTAGTAGTAGTAGTAGTAGTAGTAGTAGTAGTAGTAGTAGTAGTAGTAGTAGTAGTAGTAGTAGTAGTAGTAGTAGTAGTTGTAGTAGTAGTAGTACTTGGTGTAATCGTCATCGTAGTCGTCACCGTAGTAGTAGTAGTCGTAGTAGTAGTAGTCGTAGTAGTAGTAGTAGTAGTAGTAGAAGTAGTAGTAGTAGTAGTAGTGGTATTAGTAGTGGTAGTGCTACTAACCACAATGTTACTAACACTAAGAATCGTAGCCGTAGTCGTAGTCGTAATTGTATTAACAAGTTGTAGCTGTAGTAAAACTGGTACTGCGTCGTACTAGTAGTGCCCGTGGTAGTAATACGTCGTGATCGTATGTAGTACTGGCTGTTAGAACCTCGGTGTAGTAGTACTAATGCGACGACTCAATAGTAGTAGTAGTAGTAGCAGCAGTCGTAGTAGTAGTAGTAGTAGTCGTAGTAGTAGTAGTAGTAGTAGTCGTAGTAGTAGTAGTAGTAGTAGTAGTAGTAGTAGTAGTAGTAGTAGTACTAGTAGTAGTGGTAGTAGTCGTATAGCCGTTCTGACTAGTACCCAGTAATGCTTAGTAGTAGCGCCAGCTAGCACTTAGTAGTACGAGTGCTCGTACTTTGTGGTGCTTAGTAGTAGTAGTAGCAGCAGTAGTAGTAGTAGTAGTAGTAGTAGTAGTAGTGGTAGTAGTAGTAGTAGTAGTAGTAGTAGTAGCATCGTACTAGTACGTAGTAGTAGTCAGGATAAGGGTAGTACTAGTGTTACCGCCCTCAACGCTGAGCGGATTGTGACCAGACTGCGGCAATGCGAAGATGGAGATTTACACATGCGCGCGGCGCTCAAGCGAGAGCCACATGTTGGAAGCGACCCGGCCTCCATCCGTGAGAATGTGCGAATGTGCGCGGCGGCAAGGCGAGTGTAACACTTTGAAAACTACCTGCCCTCAACCAGCGCAACTCTTGCAACGAATTCTATAAAGAATGCGTGCGGCGCTCAGGCGAGAACAACAGTTTGGAAACGGCCAGCCCTCAATATGTGAAGCTCTTGCAAGGTTGTTTAAACGAAGGTGCGCGGCGCTAAGGCGAGACCCACATTAAAAAAAGGAACCGCCCTCAAATCGCGAAACTCTTGCAAGATGTTGAAGCGAATGTGCGCAGCAATGGCGTGAAACTCTTGCAAGTGTTTGAAACGAATGTGCGCGACGCTAAGGCGAGAGCAACATTTTGGAAGCGGCCCACCCTAAACACGTGAAGCTCTTGCATGGTGTTTGAAACGAATGCACGCGGCGCTAAGGCGAGTGCCACATCATCCTCCAAGTGCCAGAATAACGTTTCCCGGCGCGGGAAGTTTTATCCTTTTGCTGGAGGGGGGGGGGTCTTGAATACTTCATGAGGTTAAGCCTGTTCCTTTCGGGTTTCGCGGGGCCTATCCCACCCAGGAGGATGGACTGGTGGGGCTGGGACAGCATGGCCGAGCGGGGACGGGGAGATAGGTGAGACGACGCTGACTGTGGGCACCGCTGGGCCGTCACAGCAGAGCGCAGCCCACGTCCCGCGCCACACAGTCCGTGGCCTCGATGTCGGCGCCGCGGTCCAGCAACAGCGCGCACACGTCCCGGTGGCGCGCCGCGGCCGCGGCGCCGAGCGGCGTCCTGCCAGTGGCGTCCAGCGCCTCGACGTCTGCGCGCGCGTCCAGCAGGGCCTGGCAGGCGCTCGGGCTCCCGGCGCGCGCGGCCGCGTGCAGCGCCGTGGCCCCATGGCAAAGCAGCCCAAAGCCCGGGTCGAGGAGGCCAGGTCGAGTGAGCGAGCGACGTCGGGATCTGCTGGCTGGGTCAGTCAGCCCTTGCAGGATCCTGCAAGATCCTGCAGGATCCTGCAGGGTCCTGTGCCCAAGCATGGGTCAGTGCGCCACTGGCCCTGCCGGATCCTGCAATGGCGCTCTGACTGACCCCCGTGTGCGTTGACCCCCGTCCCTTGAGCCCCGAAGCGAGCGGGACGCCGATCCCGGCACGTGCAGCGAGGCGCGTGTACCCCGTGCTCGTCTGGACACGGCGCGCGACGCCGTGGTCTCTCGAGCAGAGCAGGTCCACGGTAGGTCCATGGGTCTGAAGGGGGCGCTCGCGACGTTTGCCTCTGAGCGGATGCGGGGAGCTCTTTGCACATGCTGGGCGTGCTTCCCGATATGAGCTCCTACTCCGCCTTCGTTGCGGAGCGGGGGGGGCAACCTCTGCCTGTGGGCATGTCCACGGCCATACCTGTGGCTGTGCTATGACCACACCTAACTACGCCTAGGTCTAGGCCTATGCCTTTGAACGGGCCTGTGACGAACCCACACTGGGCTAAGTAGCCTAGCCTGTTTGGGTTCGTCTGTAGATCACACCATGCATAGCTTAGCAAACCTCGCCGTGTGTATCCGTGCTTGAGCAGCTGGACCGTATGATGGTGGATCAAATTGTGGTTTGAATGACCAGCGCGCCAGGGAACATGTCATCCACGTGTCAAGTGGAATGGGCACAGGGAATCATAAGTACGAAGTGGGGGCTGGCGAAATGCATGTACCGAATTGGCGATGCAGAATGCAAGCGTCACGTTGGGGTTAGGGAACGAATCCTTCCGTTGAGGGTGTTACAGGGAATTGCAGAAATTCGTTGGAACTCTGAGCGAGATCTTGAGTGGTGGCCTGAACTGCCGACCAGCTCCCCGTCAACGACGGATCGATGGAATCCTGACAAGGAGAGGATGTGGCGAATTCGTCGAGCCGTGGACAGCCGTGGCAATCCGAGCAGAGACCGCGTCAGCTCGGAGGTCAAACCTCAGTCCGCACAGGGCCAGCAAGTGGGGTGCCTTAATCCCCCCCCGTTGTGGAGCTCTCATCGAGCTCTCGCTGCTGGCGCGCGCGCACGCCCATGATCGCCAGAAGCATGTCTCGGGATCGAACCATCGAATCGCGGATGCTCCTGGTGGCCCACAGGGTCTCCCCGACGAGCCATCCACCTGTTTTTGTCGAGCCCGGGCTTCAGGTTGCTCGATTGCTGTCGCAGGCGGCCAGCAACTCGTCGAGCAGCTCGGCACCAGCCGCTGCGTCCAGCTCCTCTGGGAACGGACGACTCAGGATAAGTACAAGGGGTGGTGTGGTTTGGCCGTGAGCGCAACGCGACTCGCGTGCTTCACCCGACCTTCCCCACACCTCCCCCCTCTCGCCCTCCAGGTCCTACCCCCCCTGCCTGCTCGCACTTGTCACCATCACCTCACCCCTCCGATGAGAACGAGGACAGCACCTTCCCCCCTGCCTCGCCACCACCTCCCCCGCACCTCCTGCGACATGAACGGATCGCGAAGTTTGGGCCCTTGGCCGTCTTCACTGCGAGGCGGGGACTTATCCACGACCGCCGCCTGGGGATCCATCCTGGGGGACCTCTGTAGGCGGTGGATATGGATGTGCCTGGCCCCACCCGCGGCTCGAACATGTCCACATCCATGGTTTTGGCTACAGCGGGGGCGTAATCCAAGGATGCTGCACCCCATGCCCTCACCGTAACCCCCCGCCTTGGATGCACGCGGAACCTCCCGCGCTCCGTCGACCTGCGAAGGGCCCTGGGGAATGGTGCGGATCCGCGTCGGCTCGAGGTCTCTCGGTCTCGGGCACCTCTGGATGTCCGACCCCGCCTCGGGCCGACGCTCATGGGGAAACCAACAGGTACCGAAACCGATACCACTACTCCCCGGACCTCTCCTGGGGTGCGTTCTGACCAGGGTTTGGAGGCGAATCCAGCGGCGACGGCGAGGGCCTCCCAGGAGGCCCAAAAAGGCGAGAACGGGGCAAGGGTAGCAATATGGGAAATCACCTTTCCCTCATCTGACGTCGCGGGCCGACTTTCAAATCCCGCCGAGCTCCCGCTGACAGGCCTCGGCGTCGCCAGCGCCAGCGGCCTCGAGCAAGGCCGGCAGCCGCCGGCCAAGCTGCCCGCTGCCTCCGCCAGCGGCCCAAGGATCCTGCCCTACCCGCCATCTCAATCGGGCACACGCCCGCATGGGTTAGGGTTAGACCGGGCCTGTCCCCCTACAGGGGGATTTTGGAGAAAAACTTTGAAAAGCACCCACAGAATATTCAAAAAATAAACAAAACTAATCCAATGATCGTCCCCATAATATTTCTTGAGTATTTTTGAATATCCCTCCTGTAGAGGGACAAGCCCGATTTAAGGTGAGGAGTCCGAGAACCTGGCGCGTGGTCGCCAAATCCGCGAATCGGGGAACGAAAAAAACCCGTGAAACATAATTAAACGAAGCCAGGACAAAGACAAATTCGAATAAGGATAAATAAATGATCTCTGAGATCCGGCGGCAATGAAGAACGTATCGGGCGCCGCCCTCCATCGAGAACACGCTGGCCTGGACTGGGGAACCGCGAACCCAAATCCCTTCGAAACATGAAAAGATCACTACGGAATCTTGCTCACTATTTTCGACCTCTGGGGGCCCTTACTGGGCTTCGGGATCGTCAAAAAATGACTCAGGATGAGAATGGGGTCCCAGGGAATATGTCGAGACCTTCAGGGGTCGACGTGTTGGGAAAACACATGACGTCTGGGAAACTGGCGCGTGGTCGCCAAATCCACGGACCGGGCAACGGAAGTGCCCCTCGAATCATGAGGCCAGAACAGCCCGATTTGCGACGCGGCGCGCCGACTCTATACTCCATCCGGAAACCGGGCCGCCGCTAATCCACGCAAAGCTAATCCATGTTTGCGCTTCCTCGGCTTCAGGGCATCCGGGCAAGCGAGGGGGGCCCACCGCTCGAGCGAGACGATCGCTCACGGCACTGTCGCACCTGGCGGCCCCTCTCTCGAGCAGGAGGCCCACGAACCCCAGATCTGCGGCCCCCGCAGCGCGGCCCGGAAAGAAACGAGGCCAACCAAGCCTGTGCGTGATGGGTGTGCGGGTCGGAGGAGAAGCACGGACCACAACCACCGAGAGCCCATCAGCGGGGGCCAGCCATGGGCGGTGGCACGCCAGAGCGTCACCCGATGCAAGATGACGCTCAGGCGTGTCACCGCCCACGGGCTGGCCCCTCACCGATGGGTTCTCGATGGCGGGAGTCCGTGCTCCTCCTCTGGGCGGGGAGATGCTGCTGCTCACCGTTGGCAGCGTTCGGAAGGGCGAGCGTGGGCAGCCCGAGAAACTGGGGCCCCTCTGGGCCCCTCAGATCCGCCACAGCATCCTCAATGTGTTCGGAGGCAACTCCTGAGGAGGTCTTCGTCAGACCGAGGAAAAACTACTAAGCCCGACGAAGCGGCCACTGGACCAGATTAAATCCGGGATCAAGTCGGATCAAGTGGGACCCAGCCAGATTAAGCAGGGGACCAAGCGGATTAAGCCAGGTTGGGCCAGTCTTCGGCCAAAGATATACCAACGCCGATTCAGACTGACATCCCATGCAAGAATTACATCCTAAGATCTAGTGTCACCCGGGACACCTGGGAATGTGGGGTTTCAACCATGTGCGGCCCCAGAGGTCACGACAAACACAACCACTTGGCTGAGGGAGCCGCCCCTGGCGCCCCCCCAATGCCGACCCCGACCCCGCCAGAGGTGCTGACCTGTGCGCGGCGCTCGATTTCGAGAAGCGCGCGCAGATCATCACCGCCAGTGGCTGTCGTGTCGGCCTCGGGAGGGCGTCAGGGGCGACTCCCTCGGCCCAACGGTTGCGGCTGCCTCCTCCTCCTCCTCCTCCTCCTCCTCCTCCTCCTCCTCAAGCGCCCAGCCCCGAGGCCGGAAGCAAGGCGAAAACGTCCGGCTCGAACAGATGAGACGCCAGGATCTCAGGGCCTGTCAATGCCCGACCACCAGGTGGTAACGACGGTGCCTCTGTGCTCTCGGCTGAAGCCCGGGCCTCTGACCCAGCAGAGGGGCTCTGCCCCTCACGGCGGAGAAGCCGTGCCCCGAAGCAGCAAATGCGGCCGCCGAAACAACCAACCGCAATGCATCTCCAGATCTCTGACGAGATGTTTGTTTCCCCACATGCTTAGTGGAGTTATGGTTCCCCACATGCTTAGTGGGGCTATGATTCCCCACATGCTTAGTGGGGTTATGGCTTTCCTTCCCGCGTCGCACCCGCGTCTCCTCCTCCTCCTCCTCCTCCTGACCTCTCCTCCTCCTTCTCCTTCTCACGCACACAGCGCAGCACAGCGCAGCGCAGCGCAGCACAGCACAGTACAGCTCAGCACAGCTCAACACAGCACACAACACATTGACACACAGCACGTACACAGGACAGCACAACACAGCACAGCACTGCTCAGCTCAGCAAAAGCACAGCACAGCACGGCACAGCTCAGCATAGCTCCTCAGCACAGCAGAGCTCAGCACAGCACAGCCCTGCACAGCACAGCCCAGCACAGACCAGCTCAGCACAGCACAGCACAGCTCAGCTCAGCACGGCTGGCTCAGCTCAACTCAGCACAACACACACACAAACACACACACACACACACACACGCACGCACAATAACGCAAACACACAAACACATGACACGCACACCACGCAACACATGGTCGGAAACCGTGGCAGGCATTGCACTTTCTCGACACCAGAGGGGGTGCGCGTGCGCAGAGACTGGTCCCTCAGCGCGGTTTCTATGCGTACCAGGGTCGGACAGCGTGGCAGGCGTTGCACTTTCTCGACACCGGGGGGGTGCGCCGAGTGGCCCCTCAGCGCGGCCCCTATTCGTGCCACGGTCGGAAAGCGCGGCAGGCGTGGCACTTTGTCGCCACCAGAGGGGGTGCGCGGGGGGTGGTCCTCAGCGCGGCCTCTACGCGTGCCAGTGTCGGACAACGTGGCAGGCGTTGCACGTTCTCGACAACAGAGAACGTGCGCAAGGGGTGGTCCCTCAGCGCGGCCACTATGCGTGCCAGGGTCGGAAAGCGTGGCAGGCGCGGCACTTTGTCGCCAGTGCGCAGGGGGGGTCCCTCGGCGCGGCCTCTATGCGTGCCAGGGTCGGAAAGCGTGGCAGGCGTTGCGCTTTCTCGACGCCAGAGGGGGTGCGCAGGGAGTGGTCCCTCAGCGCGGCCCCTATGCGTGTCAGGGTCGGAAAGCGTGCCACGGTCGGAAAGCGCGGCAAGCGTGGCACTTTGTCGCCACCAGAGGGGGTGCGCGGGGGGTGGTCCCTCAGCGCGGCCTCTATGCGTACCAGGGTCGGACAGCGTGGCAGGCGTTGCACTTTCTCGGCACCAGAGAGGGTGCGCAGGGGGTGGTCCCTCAGCGCGGCCCCTATGCGTGCCAGGGTCGGAAAGCGCGGCAAACGTAACACTTTCTCGATACCTGAGGGGGTGCGCAGGGGGGGTGGTCCGCCACTGTGCGTGACAGGGCCGGACATTGTGGCATGCACGTCGGCCAGAACTGTAGACGCATTGGCCCAAACCCGCTCAAATGCTGCAGGTGCTGTCGTGCCGCCCGCGCCGCTCATGCCGCCCAAATGTCCCATTGACGCACTGCCGCCTCCGCATTTGAATCTCAAGAATTCCATGGCTGACGCAGGCGTCGAGGCTGGCATTGTGAACTTGCGCAGTTACGGGGCGGCAAGCACATAATCGGAGGTGAGGGGGTGAGATCGAAGTGGAACGGGGAGCCCCCCTACCGGGAAATCGGTTTCGGTTTCGTGCTCGTGCGGTCGAGGCGAAGCTGCGTGGGCGGGCGAGAAGAAAGTCTCCTCCGGCTGAGGCGCAACCGGACCAAATGATTCCTCTCCGGGGGCCGGTGCCGCGCGGTGTCCCGCCGGTGTCCCGCCTCCGGCTGAGGCGCGGCCGGACCAGATGATTCCTGTCTGGGGGCTGGTGCCGCGCGGTGTCCCGCCGGTGTCCCGCCAGTGTCCCAACGGTGTCCCGATGATGGGGATGATGATGATGTCGATGATGTTCATGATGATGATGATGATGATGATGATGATGATGGTGGTGGTGATGGTGGTGATGATGATGGTGTCCCGATGATGATGACGATGTTGACGATGTTGTTGATGATGATGGTGGTGATGATAATGGTGCCCCGATGATGATGCTGTTGATGATGATGTTGCTGATGATGATGATGATGGTATCCAAATGATGATGCTGTTGATGGTCATGATGCTGTTGACGATAATGAAATGCTGAGATGATAATGAAGATGATGATGATGATGATGGTTTCCCGATGATGATGATGATGATGATGATGATGATGATGAGGCTGATGATGATGCGGTTGATGCTGATGGTGATGATGATGATGGTTTCCCGATGATGATAATGATGTTGGTGATGATGATGACGACGATGATGTCTCGATGATGATGCTGATGTTGATGATGCGGATGGTGATGGGGTGATGATAATGATTTTGATGCTGGTGGCCCGATGGTGGTGATGATGATGCGGATGTTGATGATGATGGTGTCCGGATGACAATGATGGTGATGATGATGGTGACGGTGGTGATGGTGTCCCGATGATGATGTTGGTGATGATGATGATGCTGCTGATGCTGATGGTGTCCCTATGACGATGATGTTGATGATGCTGTTCATGATGATGATGCTTAGCTGGTGATGATGGTGGGGTTCCGATGTTGGTAATGATGGTGCCCCGATGATGATGATGATGCTGAATATGCTGATGGTGACGATGATGGTGTCCCGATGATGAGGATGATGATGATGATGATGCTGGTGTTGGTGATGATGGTGTTGATGATGATGGTGGTGAGGTGGTGATGATGATGGTGTCCCGATGATGGTGATGACGCTGATGGCGATTATGCTGTTGATGATAATGACGTTGGTTGTGGGATCGCTTGTGATATCGGTAGTAAAATCGATAGTGAAACCGAATGTGAGATCGATTGTGAGATCGATAATGATACCGATCGTGATATGAATTGTGAGATCGATCGAATGAAATAGATCGAGTGAGATCGATTGTGAGATCGATCGGCTGAGATCAATCGAGCGAGGCCGA